CGCTCTCTCTCTCTCTCGCTCTCTCTCTCTCTCTCCAGCATATTATGTAAGGGATAATGTAGAATCCGCCAGTCATAACCACACAAAATAAACCTGAAGGGGTGATCAGGTCGCCTACGCCAAGCAGAGTCATTTATTACGCAGTTCATCAAATACATTATTAAACGGACAAGGAATATTTAAGTTTAACTTTTATTTTTTTATATTTTTTTTACATTGTAATGTAATGTATTTTGTGAGAAGAAAGCGATGACGACTTAATATAGTTAAGACACATTAAACCATAGAAATCACTTGCCTGGGTTACTCAATATTAGCCTATGATGTTCTAGTGTTCTACTGCACTAAGGTTTAAATAGCGATTTATGCTATTTAAACTAAGTGCAAATAGCGATAGTTTCTATTTACACTATGTACAAATAGCAGTATTTTCTTCTATTTATACTACTTATTGCAAATAGTGTCAAATATCTGCACCTCAGAATTGTAGTACATTAAACAGTATGCAATAATAACGTTAAAAATTATTATTTTTATTAGTATTATTAACGGATGCTGCCTTATTGGGACAATAAAACCCTCCATACAACCACCCAAACACTACTCGATACTTTTGAAACGTTTTGATTATTTCCTTAATTTTTCTGGAAAATAAATACCTTTTCAATGTGATAAGAGATGTGAAAATGAAAAGAACAAGTTCGGCTAAAGGCAGATTCGAACTCGAGTCGATCGCGTCGTGAGAAATGCTTTAAAGGGATAGTTTACCCAAAAATGAAAATTCTGTCATTAATTACTCACCCTCATGTCGTTTCAAACCTGTAAGACCTTCGTTCATCTTCGGAACACAAATTAAGATATTTTTGATGAAATCTGAGAGCTCTCTGACCCTCCCATAGATAGCTAGGGTACTACCACGATCAAGGACCAGAAACATAGCAAGGAGATCAGTAAAATAATCCATGGGACATCAGGGGTTCAACCGTAATTTTACATGCTACGAGAATACTTTTTGTGCGCAAAAGGAAAAAAAAAACGACTTTATTCAACAATTCGTCTCCTCCAATTCACCCTGTTTGGAGAGTATCCACTGAACGTAAACAGCGTATGTTGGTCTGTGTCAGCTGCGCCACGCGGATACGTTGTTTTACGTTCAAATCAAAGCACAGACAGTGTAGAAAACTATCTGCATGGCGCAGCTGAAACAGAACAGCATATGCTGTTTACGTTCAGTGGATACTCTCCAAAATGGCGCTAGGGTGACGCGGAGGAGACGAATTGTTGAGTAAAGTCGTTCTTTTTTTTCTTTTGCGCACAAAAAGTATTCTCGTAGCTTTGTAATATTAGGGTTGAAACCCTGATGTCAGATGGACTGTTTTACCGATCTCCTTGCTATGTTTCTGTGTTGATCGTGGTAGTTCCCTTGCTGTCTATGGGAGGGTCAGAGAGCTCTCAGATTCCATCAAAAATATCTTAATTTGTGTTCCGAAGATGAACGAAGGTCTTACAGGTTTGAAACGACATGAGGGATGACAGAATTTTCATTTTTGGGTGAACTAACCCTTTAAGCGCTTCATCATCTGTGCTACTGAAGTCGTCGATTGCTGGCCATCTTTTGTAATGTGGTCCAGTCCAATCATACGTTGGTGGGCGGAGTTAGTGCAAATAGCCTCTGCCAACAAATAGACACTCCATTATTAAAAATATTTGTCCACAGCTGACCAATACGCCAAGCAGATAAGCAATAAGGCAGCTGATCAATCCAGTGAGCCATGTAACAGATTTATATAATGTTCCATCTTATACATTGCCTCTGTAGAGTTTGCAGAGTTAGTTATGAGGTCTTGTAAAGCGTCGTGATGTGTGTGGGTTTGGTGTGTGGGTAGAAAGGGGCTGGGGACACATAAACACATCACACAAAAACATCCACACATACATTCTCATGTGTTAAGGGAATATAATGTGCTCACATCAAAATAAAAATCCATCCATGGTGCTCTAAATCTAAAGTATCCAAATCCCATTGAACTGCACTGGGGGAAAAAATGCTATTGTTTGACTTCAGAAGAATAGAAAGAATAATATAAGCAGTGTGGTCTACTTTGATGATACTTCAATGGTGCTTAGGTGCCCTTTTTGAGGCTTTAAAGTCCCAGTTGTCAGTCATTTTAACTGCATAATATTATTAATCAAAATGTCTTCTTTTGTGTTCCTTGGAGCAAAGTCATACTGGTTTGGATAAAACTCTTAGCAGCAGTCACATGAATTATGATGTATTGTTTACACTGGGCTGTTAATGAAATCAGGAGGCAGACAATGAACACTGAACAGGAGCTTATATTTTACTAAGAAACATGCAGCCTGACCAAAAATGTCAGGACTAGAACTGATGCTACCAGAAAAACATTGTGACTCGCTTTATATCCAAGAGTTTTGTAAACAGTCTTGCAAATATTGCATACCTATGTTCATATTACATATGAATCAAAGACCTACTCCTCTGTCTTTCTTTTGGATTTTTGGCTTGCACTGAGCTGCCTCAATTGCTTGTAGTGCATGTGCATTGTTATGCATGTACTGTTGTATGAATTTTAGTTGGAGTGAGATTAGTAGTGAAATAAACTAAATCTGGAGTGTTTTTAAATTGCACAACAGTGAAAAAACTACAAGCTTCAGAAACTGTGTCCACTTCAGTAAAGACAAGTATTTCTTCCCTTTATCTTTAGTTTTTTATGCAAAATACATAAGCTGTAGTAAAATTATAGGCTACTTAAATGATTCTGAGAAAACTTTCCACAATTTTGGTGCTTTGTGGATTGCAATAGATTTCAATAGATGCATTTAACGCTTTAAATGTATTTTTATTGATCTAATAGTTTTATGGTCATATAGAAGGTTATTATTTCATATTTCATTTATATATTAAATGTCCTTTTTCAAATGAAGCAGTAATTCCTATCATCTGACTTTCCTCTGGCAGTGCATTGTTGCTAAGCAACTAAATGGAAATGTACAGTAGAAATAGGACAGTTTGAGATTATAACACAGACAGGAAAAGCGCACATACTGCGGGTGATGAATATGACAGTTAAACCCGAAGAAAATCTATTTACTCGCTGCATCATTACCAAGCATGCTCAATGTTTCGCTCCTTTTAAAACTCTTCATATTTCATACAGTATGAGAAGGATGCTTCAGGAAATGATGTCACCACTTCACAAAAATCTCCAAATGCAAACAACCGCGTTTATAAAGACCTCGCCTCTCCTCTGTAACCCATGTGTCATCGAGGTTAGTTGTCATGCCAACAAGTAATGAAATGCAAACGGCTTTGACCACTGCAGTTTTGTCCTGCGTTTTATATAATAGCACTCATGAGACTGATAAGTATCTTATCAGTGCTGCAGATTCCTGAGTGGCATAATGGTACTCAGAATAAATGAATTAATTAATTCGCAGTCCTCATTCTTCTGCGATGAGATGATTTGTGACAGCAGTGAATTGGTTATGGCTTTGCAGTTATTAAACAGTCCCTGACTGTTTAACCGCTGGTTAATGAGGTCTATACAGGTGATGGCTGCAGGGTTGCCAAGTTTTCAGAACAAAACCTGCCCAATTGCTACTCAAAACTAGCCCAATCACATCGTGCTCCAAGGGGGTAAAATAGCTACACGTTTTTTGGCGGGGTTCCCCCTGGTAAAATTCGTATTCCAGGGGCTAAATATCACGTTATTGGGGTCGCTTTAACCCAGGGGTGGCAAACTCAGTTCCTGGAGGGCCGGAGCCCTGCAAAGTTTAGCTTCTACCCTAATTAAACACACCTGATCCAGCTAATCATGTCCTTCAGGCTAATTTGGAAACTACATGGTTTGTGTGTTGGAGCAGGGTTGGAACTGAACTTTGCAGGGCTGAGTTTGACACCCCTGCTTTAACCCGTAGACACGAAAAACAACCTGCAGCAACAGTGTTAAAGTAACCTAATTCTGCGGGGAAAACGCAGACTTGGCAACACTGGATGGCTAATCAAGCTCTGTCCGGTTTCAGGAGGGTTCGAATATCCATCCCTCTCACTGAAGATCAGTGTTGGGGAAAGTTACTTTTAAAAGTAATGCATTACAATATTGCGCTACTCCCACAAAAAAAAAAAAAGTAACTAATTTAGTTACTTTTTATGAAAAGTAATGTGTTGCATTACTTTTGTGTTACTTTTTCTCATCTGGGCGGGGGTTGCTGGTTTGTTTTTAAAGGTCCCATATTTTACACCTTTCTGGAGTTTTATTTTAGGTTTTGATGTCCTTAAGAATATATATTTGCGGTATAAGTACCAAAAACATCTCAATATATTTTTACAGCTCCTCTCTCAGGAGCTCTGCTGAGAACAGGTCGATTTTGGTCTGTCTAATTAATATTCATGAGCCTCTCTTCTGATTGGCCTGTTGTTTTCTGAGTGACGCACG